AGCTGGGCAGCTTCTGAAAATTGCTAATGTATATAAAAAATAATAATACAGATGTTCAGCTTAGCATAATTCATTTTGTGAAAATTTTCTTAGTCTAAAGGTGAAGTGGGGAACTATGGTCCTTTTAACATTTGGGGACTTCAACTCCCAGAATTCCTGAGCCAGCATGGGAACTTGGTCCTTTTATGACTTGTTGACTTCAAGTCCCAGAATTCATGGCTGGCTCAGGAATTCTGGGAGTTGAAGTCCACAAATGTTAAAAGGACCATAGTTCCCCACTTCACCTTTAGACTAAGAAAATTTTCACAAAATGAATTATGCTAAGCTGAACATCTGTATTATTATTTTTTATATACCTTAGCAATTTTCAGAAGCTGCCCAGCTTTATGAAAAAGGACAATATTTCGACAAAGCAGCTTCAGTATACATACGATGTAAAAACTGGTAAGTGTTATTTTGTAACTGCAGATTATTGTTATTTGCCTTTCAAACCATGAATACTTTAGAATATGCTAATTCTCATGTGTTGTGCAGTTCATTTGCAGAAGATTTACAGGCTCAGGAATTGAATTAGTGGCTTTGGAGCACTCTTATTTTATTTTATTTATTTTTATCCCAGAAGTTCTGAAGAAGTTCAAGGTATAAAACTGGAATAATGTCTGTCCTTGGGTCCTGGCCCAGTCTGGGCTTTCTTATTCATATTTATTTATTTGATGATCAGTTTCTCGGTAACTATTGTTATCTGGGTGATGCATAACAAAATAAATAAATGTCTCTACGGTAACAATGATTTTTCAAAATAGGCGTTTCGTAACCAAGAATTCTAAAACTGATCATAAATACCTCTTGATGTGAGGCATACATGTTCCATGGCATTATTGCGTTAAGACACACAATGAGGCTAACTATTTTGTACTGTTTTAAAAATCCCATTGAAATAAGTTCTTGGAGTAATGTCCGATTCAGATAGTCCTTGGGTTATGACCAGAACTGAGCCCAAAATATCTACTGCTAAGCGAGATATTTGTTAAGTGAGTTTTCCCCCATTTTACGAACTTTCCCACCATAGTTGTTAAGTGAACCACTGCAGTTGTTAAATGATTAAAACGGTTCTTAAGAGAATCTGCCTCCCCCAATTGACTTTGCTCATCGAAAGGTCGCGAAATGGGATCACATGACCCCAGGACACTGCAACTGTCATAAATACGAGTCAGTTGCCAAGTGTCCGAATTCTGATTACGTGACCACAGAGATGCTGCAACAGTTGTACGTTTGAAAAAAGTCACTTTTTTTTGTCACTTCAAAACTGTAACTCAAGACCTGTATCTAAACGAGAAGTCAAATTCATTTAAAAGTCACCTTTAAAGTTTTGAGACTTTTGTATTTTTTTCCGTATATTATATCCTAAATTAATAAAATTGTTACAACATTAAAAAAAATTAAGTTTTGAGACTCGTAATGTAATTAAGCAAATTATCTTTATGCTTGATCCGATGGAGTGAATAGAACCGAACTGAACGGAGAAATGTGCCTACTTAATTCCACTTAAAAAAATATAATTTATTCCTGTTGTTTAGGACCAAAGTTGGTGAGCTGCTTCAGCATGTGTCTTCTCCAAAAATACACCTTCAGTATGCCAAAGCAAAGGAAGCAGATGGCAGGTACTCCTTCCTAGAGTTAATGTTCCAATATTTTTGCGGTTCCACCACAAAATCGCGGAGGACAAAATCGCGCTCGATGAAAGCGCGCATTTGACGTCATCACAGCGCGACGAAAACATTGCGCTGTGATCGAAAAATGTAAAAATAAAGCTAAAACCTAACCCTAAACCTAACCCTAAACCTAACCCTAAGCCTAACCCTTAACCTAACCCTAAATCTAACCCTAAACG